GGAACGTAAACAGCAGCAACAGTGATAATATGGTCGGCATCTGTACACTGAAAACTTGTCATCTGGCTACTACTCTATTTCTTTGTCAAAATGAGAAACACAGGTAAACAAATTATGCATCTGTTGATTTAAATGAGTCTAAGTATGCATTGTGTGGCTTGGGCCATTTGGGAAATCACACATCATAAATGCAGAGTGTGTTCTGCCAACACTAGCCACGTCAGACACAAAGTGAAGTCCAGCAAAGACCGAACGAAGAGATTTACATGCTTCTTTTCTATAAGAGCAACTTAGCCTGACCTGCTTTTCAACCAACCACAGAGCCCACATTAACACTGATGGAACGAGGGTTGTGTAACACTAATGAAAGAAAATCACGCTCATATAAATTGGCTTATAAGAATATCCAACCCAAATGGTGATGGGGTGGCAGATTATGCCACTTTTTTTTTTAGATTATAGCCTACTATTTTAAGACACACTCTCCTAGTTTGTTATTGCAACTCAAATTTCTTTCTAACCCACAGAGATATTCCGTAAACTGTGGTAATGAAGAAACCGCAGGGGGTTTGGGGGCATTACCGGACAGTGCAACAGAGGGTGTATCGAGCATAGTGGGGGAGGTGTAATTTCAAAGAGGAAGAATGAGTACAATACATTTTGAAATTGAAATTAAAATAAACTCATTTGGCAATTATCAAAATGTCAATCCAGCTGATCTTTGTGCAAACAAATCTTTTTCTTCAAAGTCTTTCAAGCTGCTCCAAATCAGCAGAGCCCTGGAGGCTGAGCAACAGGACTATCACTATGAAACAAAATTACTGTTTAAGGGCATAGTCTTAATGACTTTCCACAAAATGTAATTAAAAAGATATTGAATAAACATAAACCTCCTTCTCAGGTGCTCGGCTCCCCCAAGGAGTGCTTAATGATTAACGCTGCTTTATGCTCGGGCAGGTTGCTCTCCAAAGGGTCAAGGAACAATAAAAGGGTTTCATTCTAGGTGGGAAGAGACGCTTTTTGTTTCCTTTCGGTGGCATTTAGACTATCTGTCAAAAGGAACATTAATCTGAGGCGTGTTCAGAATGCAGAATCTACAGGTCTGCTTAATTCTATATAGAGTTATAATCAGCCTTTGGCCTATATTATAATATGACAGCAAGGTCAGAAGTTTACAGCCAATCTCAAAAAAGTTAGACAACCCAGAGCAGTTGGCAATGTGATGAGCTTTAGACCCGGGATGGGACTATATATGATATGATCACTTATCGCAATAAATAGCACTGAATTTTCATTATCAGGATAAGCGTGAACATGTACTCTGTGGAACTGGGGCTGTTTCTTGCTTAAAGCCCCATATGCAGCAAGGAGTTTGTTAGAACACTTTCCATCATTAAAGAGGATCTCCGCAAAATATGATTTTGCACTGTTCACATTATTAAATACATTGTTGTTGGCACTGGAACAGTTTTTCCAACAAAACACTGTATGTAAAAGAGGGGTGGGCAAAATGGGCAAAAAATATCCGTTATTTTTTGGGATTTTTTGCGATAACGATAATCAGTCGATATCCTTTAAAATGTGATTGGAATTGTCTGAGTTTGGGCTTGTGTCCACCACACGCGTTTTTAAGCGCTGAGAGCTCAAAATCTCATTTTCCGAGCACCCAGCGGTGTTAAAAGTTGAACAGATTTCAACTTGAAGCGCTCTGAGCGCTGCGCTAAAGAAGTATTTTCGAAACCATTTCCATGCCAGAGAGGTAGACCCACGTCTCGGCACTAAATCATCTGAAGTACCGGTAGCTTCAGGGACTGGAGGTGTTTGCATTTTCTCTCTACCATCACAACGCGCTGCTAAACTGTTGCAAGGAGGATGCTAGCGAGAGGTCATGCGATCACGTCATGTGATCCCGTAGGCCCACTAGTCGTGTGACTGAATCCTGCCATGCTGTAGAGAGCGTTACTGCACCGTGTATTAAGTGGATGTGAGGAGTTTCCGCATGCGTTTCAATATCTTTGGCGAAGTCATTTAAATACTCGATAATGGAATTTTGCACATCGTCAAAACAACAATGACGATATTATCGCAAACGATATATATCGCCCACCTCTAGTGTAAAACTGCTTTTTCTGCTCAAAAGTAGCTGCATGGGTCTGCTTGGATTACAGAATTTAGTTAGCTTAGCTTCAACACCGGTCCCCACACAGTAAGGGTCTTATAGTTAGTGTCACAGCATCTTGTTTACCATGCTACACTGAGAGATGGTCAGTCTTCCACATGTCCCCTGACACGGACTGACCACCTCTGCCTCACACACTACATAGTCAGGAGTTCACTCCTCAATTCTCTGTTGCTTTTTTAAAATATGTTGGCAGGGAGGGAATTTAGGCTGTAATTATCCTTTAAAAACGTAATTTTTTTATTTCCTGCCGATAGGGGGTCTTTCACATGAACACTATAGTTTAATGACATTGTGAAGTAGGTTCGGAGTTGTTGTCTTCACCACCATTGTCTCCTGCTCAAATGGACCCACTGATTAAAACCGCTAAAAACACTGAATAAAGCAATTCCACCTTAAAAATCAGAGTTTCTCCCACACTGTTGGACAGACAAAGGACGTCCCGGAGGAGCTGCGAGCCGAGCTGCTGCTAACGTTAGCTCAGCTTGTTTCTCTGATAACTTAAGATCCAGATGTCCGATGACTAAAATCCTTCATCCGGTTAATCTGGGTTAAAAAAAAAACGTGGGGTAAAATGTGGCTTACTGGATAAACAGTCAAGTATGACACTCGCTGACACAGGCACAGAGGGGATATGACGCCACTGACAGGCGACCGGTGAAACGCAGCGTTACCTGAATAAAATGACAGATTTCTCTGAGTTTGAACATTTGGCGGAAATGATACTTTGCTTTGTAAAGTTAGAGGAATCTTGATCTAGAATCAGGTTTCTTCCATATATATTTATAGGAACACATGTGATTTGGTGCTATTGAAAACATCAGTGATCTGTGATTTTTATCATTTTTCACACAGAAGTCCAGATGCCAGGATGGTATGGGTGGTACAACTGGTCCATACTCTCTAGGCTGCTATGGCAATATGCAAACAACACACAGTATAAAAAGGTAATAAAAGACACCCATGAACTGTAGGATAGACAGAGATGAGCTCCAAACAAACAGTGATTAAAACACTAGCTTCACTCAAAATGAAGCCAAAAGACAAGCTGTTTGAACAACTGCAGGGCATCTACAACCCGAGTATCAATACACAAATCATCTCAAAAATGCTAAAAATGACAAAAATAATGCGCCCTGTGTGTACCAGAGAGAGAAGGTCATTCTGCACAAAAATCTTCTTCTGTTATTCGGAATAAGCGCCGTAGAAATTTTAAGAAGGATCCACTAAATGTAAGTTTCTGCTGTAACAGTCTTGCTTTGTACTTTACATTGTACAGTGCACTTCACAGAAGCTTAGAAGTCACCTCCTGTCAATGCTAATAAGACTAATGACTGCCAATCATGGAACAGAGCCAAACAGGCTTAAAGGCAGCAACTGAACTAGGATAGAAGGATGTGGGAAAAGCAATTTACAGCAACTGTGGACAATTCTACCACCTATTAGGCTACAAAATTAGGATTTGGAGTTTCCTGTACCTTTAACAGTGGTCAATCAAAGAGCATCTCACCATTTTGTCCTAAAACACCATTCTCAACACACTGATCCACTTTATAGCAGTGGAGGGCCCCTTTTTCAAATCGATCCCAATGGATCTGAAGCATTTATGTAGGCTAGACACCCGAGCTCTTTACATGCACAGCATGTCTTACATTTTTGAAGGATTGCTCTGAGCACCCTGAGCTGATAAAGTTCCCAACTCTGAAGATATGGCAAATTAGACTGACATTAGATTCAAAAGTAACACTTCAGGCATAATTTCTGCACCTGACAAGAAAATTGATGTTGAAGAGGAGACAAACTAAGAGTCTACAGCCATGCAAGCTAAACTTTGCTAATTAGCATCAAACACAAAGTACAGCTGAGGCTGGTATTTGGTCATAAACTTAAGTATCTGACTGAAATGCTGACCAAATGATAGCACTAGATGTAAAGTTGGGGGAATGTGTGTGCTGAAAATTTTGATTTGCTGGTGGTGCTAAAGAAAGAGTCAGAAACACCAATCGCAGTAGGATTCATCCTCTGGGGACCATTAATTAAATCTCTTGGCAATCCATCCCGTCGCTGTTAACCAGAGGAATTAGAAAAAAAAATTGTAAATGAAAGGTCCAGTGTGTAACATTTAGGATGATCTATTGTCAGAAATGGAATATAATATTCATAGGTGTGTTTTCATTAGTGTATACTCACCTGAATATTAGAATCATTGTGTTTTTGTTCCCTTAGAATGAGCTGTTTTTATCTACAGAGGCAGTGGGTCCTCTTCTGCGAAGGCCGCCATGTTTCTACAGGAGCCCAGAACGGACAAACCACACCACTGGCTCTAGATATGGCCTTTTGCGTCTTCAACCTCAGTTTCTCCTACACACTTGGAAGGCAAGTGGTATTCAGTTGGTTGCAATCTGCAACTTAACCACTAGATGCCGCTAAATCCTACACACTGGTCCTTTAAAAGAATGATCAAAAGGTGTAATCAAAGGCTAATTAATAAAGATCTTAAATCAGCTTTTGGCACAGTACAGGTTATGTACTGCATCATAGAAACTGTGCTTGTGTGAAAGGTTTTTGAAGTTCTTGTCTGATTCCAAATTATTTACAGCTAATAACTTGTCATTATAAATTACCATTATATTCATATGTGTAACAGCTTCCACAGCCACCTGTACGTCACAGAATTGTTTAAAATGAGAGATTCTTCATATTTAGTGTGCATCATCATCATCATCATCATCATCAATAAGAAGACCTATTAGGGCTAGCTACATGAACACCAAACAATGGCCATGTGCTGATCCACAGAACTCTCTCGGTTCTTACTCACTTGTTCCTCAGAACCTGCCAGGCCGCCTCGATGTCCGCATACAGGTTCTTCTCTGAGGGCTTGCCGGTGCTGACTCCGTACCCTGAGTAATCGTAGGAGAACACGTTGCAGTTGATCCTGGAGCCGAGGCCGATGTAAAAACTGCACATCTGTCCCAGGTCCACGGCGTTACCGTGGGAGAACAGGAGCGTGTACCGGCTGTTCGGGGCGCAGCGCACAAACATACAGCCGACCCGGTTACCCCGGCTGCTCCTGGTGCTAAACACCTCCACTGCATCGAGCTCTCGCTGGGAGTACTGCCAGTCCGCCCGCTCGGTTAAATGTAAGCTAGTTACCCCGTTAGCATCGGTGTGCACGGAGTACGTGGGCTCCGGGGGGAGGAAAGCTAGCTTGGCCGCGATGCGACTGGGACACGGTGGACAACAGAACAGCCAGCATAGTTCGCCGAGAGAAAACCCATTCATTCTGGGTCCTTGTTCGGGCATTTAGGCGCGGGGTTACCAATGAACTGTCTGCTATTGAAACGGAGAGGCTGCTGTCTCCGGGCTGCAGCTCTTATGTGTCTGCCGTTAACGGGCTGTACCGAACGGCGCTGGCTGACAGGTGCTCGGCTTTGCGGCTAACGCGCTAGCCGGCTAGCAGCTAGCTAACAAGAAAACTCCTCGCTCATGTAGATTAGAGATGAAGTGTTCTTATTCTGCAGCATAACGCGGGGCAGCGACCGGCCTCGGTGCAGCAAGTCCGCTCCTGTAACTCATCACCTGCTACACGTCGAGGTTTATTGCTAGTGCATTGTAAGAAAGAGAACAGCCATTTCTCTGGAGCGGAGACAAGCTTCCGGCTGAACCGGACATCCGGTTTGTCTATTGTTTGATTAGGATTTTTTTAAATCTCTATTTATTTTATTCATTGTTTTATCTGGTCGCATTTTAGACTTTACAAACGTTACTTCATATTAAATGCCTGCACCAAAAAATTATATTTAAAATAACTTTAATTCAATAACTGTAGTTTCTCCTGCACACTGTATGCAAATGTTTGCAGTCTGCAGCTCCAGATGCCATTTAATCACACTGGTCCTTTAAAGTGTAATACAGTAATAACTGATGTGGATAATGTGGAAGAAGCAGGCTCTGAGGCAGTCTGGTTGATTTGATTGTCTTTAGTTTTATGGAAGTTTGTGGATTGGCGAGTTTTGATATAAAAATAAGTCTTTGTTATTTTTGTTATTTGTTTTACAATTCTTCTAGATACTGCAAATAGGATAAATATAATGTTTTGTAAATCTTATAATTTGACTCTCCCATAGTAATATTGATGAAGCTGTATTTAATGAGTGTTAATCATGTCCCACTCTGATAATAGATGGATGCAGTGCGTGCGTGGGTTCTAACTTTTCTTCCAAAAGGCAGCAGACTAGGCGAGGACATCCCATTAGTGAATGAGACTCCCACACCCTGTCCTCGTCCCGCTCTCTCCTGTCTCTGCTCTCTGTTGAGAGGAGCTAAGAAGTGAGGAAACCATGTTAGCTCTAGTGCTCATTTCCCACACTAGTTGTATGACACAAAGCTCGCTGTGTCCCGTCATGTCACTCTCAAAACAGAAATATAAATAGATGAATTAATGTTTACATGGTGGAGTGCAGCGGCTGGCTGCTATAGGCTGAGCTGTGACTATACAGACAAATACTATTTCAAACTGTCCAAATATATTTGTCTGTTATTTATTGATAGCCTGACTGTTTATGCTAGTCAGTAATACATATTGCTAACTAGCAGAAATAGGAGAAACACATGAGCATTCTGTAGCAGGCTGAGAGGAAGAGGCTGATCCTGGGGCAGTCCTCTGACTCTGGGTCAGATTCTGGCTCTGGTCGCTCTAACATGTAGTGCTGAGTGAATCTAATGAAGCTGTTGGCATCCACTTTGGCTCTGTTATGGTACAGTAACGTTCTTTGACAGGTGAGAGCGGACACGATCCCAGCGTCTCAACAATGTTCATTTCTCCCATTTTTGAAACCTAATTTTATATACTTGGAGATTTAATCATTCAAATTTGGCAGGATGGTTAATAACGCCTTTTTCTTTGGTGTGAGAAACTCAGAAATATTTATTTTTGCTTTACACAGACTTTAAGGTTCTGTTCTTTAGTGTAGCAGAGTCTTTCCAGTGAGCCAACATGCACAATAGCAGCACCTTGACTGTCTGACCTGAATGGAACTGAACCTTAATCAGTATCACTGGTAACACCTGTGTTTAACCTACTATTTCATTTCAAAATGGCTGCTGTGAAGAAGGTCCATTCTTTACATTCTCTATGAATTAATGTGATCATTTCAAGCTGAAAATTCTTCTTAAGTAATTAGCTTATTTATTTTCCAAATGTTTCCATAGTAAACCATTTTTGGTAATTTGAGAAATTCTTGTACTCGTTATGATCTGTTTAATATTATGCCAGTATTGTCTTTCATTTTAAATATACTAGCCCTATTTTTCTGAAAACCGCCGTTGGCCTCCTGTCATAATAGTGTAGTTCTACATCTAGGACCTTTTTTTGTTTGATTTGGATTTGATCTATTCCAACACAGAAAAGGATGCAGGCCTTGCCCAAAACACAACCCAATGCTCTCATCGCGTCTTCCTCTACTCTTGCTCTGGCTCCAGCAGTGAGTCAACCTCCATAATAAATGTCCAACTTTACAGCAGAAATAAACATGTTTACACCTTGGTTTTAGTCTCTATAGCTAACTTTCACGTTATGTCAACTGTACACACAACTGTGTCTATAACTGTAGGGGTGGATTTTAATAGAACTCACCTGTTTAAATTACATTAAGGCTTAACATTATTTAAGGCCGCGGCCTCTTTGAGTGACAGGTGGCTGTTTTCAGCAACCAAGATTCATTCAGCCTGCCTCGGCTCCACCCACATTCCGCTTCTTTGGCCTTTTTTCACCATCTTGACGGTCGGGATGGGCCAGAGCCGACCATACTGAGCTCACAGCGGCTCTTCAGAAACCTATGGGTGACATCACGGAGACTACATTCATATTTCACTATGGGCGTCACCCTCCTGCTGGCCTATATTAGGTAATAGATTGGCAACCAATCAACACTGATAAATAATGTGGTGAATAACTTGTCACCATAACAGTTGACAATAAGTTATCCTTTAACCAACTTTTAATTGCCCAAACATCAGATATCTGGCGTTCAGCCTCTGGATTGCCCATATTGGGTAATACACAGTACTAAGTAAAAAGCTTTGTTATGGTCCACATATATAATTCTGGCAGCATTACTGTATGCTACTTAGAAAACACATTTGTTAATGCAAAAAAGTTGTAGATGGAGACTGGGTTGCTTCACAACAACGCTGAGACCAGGCAGCACACTCAAAATGCAGAATACAGGATGTCATTACTATATTTCAATAACAGCAGAAGCATGTATCCTTAGATAGCCTAGCTGAAGCACTTCAAACCCACCTGAGAGGGAGAAGAGGATCGGCTCCATACACACATTTCAGTGCTGTCACTAATAACCATATGGAGACAGGAGTCGGCAGTATTTGTCATAGCCTGGAGGAGGAAAGCCATTACCAGATAGTCTAATGTGTTCAACTCTAACAGACTGCGAGAGATGGAGTCCGTGCCAAGCTTCCAATACAAATACAGCAGAAAAAAGTGCCAATCGCTCAGCACCATATGTCTGATATTTGGAGCAGATAGGGTAAAGTTATGTTTTTCCAAGCATAAGTAGAATATTTATGAATCGGATACCTAACCTAAGATGTCTCACCCTTACAAATGTATTCTTTAGCAGAGTGTGGATAAAAGCCTCTGCACAGACATGTTTCTATAGGCCTGTCAGACACACAGTTTAAATCAGGAGAAAACAAGAGAATATGGTATCATGAACCTGCCAACATGACAGTCCAATCATATTCAACCTTTCACCTTATCGCCCAATGATTCATTTAAATGTGGAACTGAACTGTCTTTTTTCTCTTTTTTGTCCCCATTGCGTCCATGCGAGTGTAGCTGAAAAAACTAAATGATTGGGTAGGATGACAGAAAAGGGTCACTACTTTTTCCCTATAATGATGAACACCAGGCAAAAGTCAACCCTGATATTCCACGCCTTTGTTACTAAGTGAGAACTGGTACGGATATTTAAAGATAAACTTTCAAATAAAAGTATTTTGTTTGTTTTATGCCTATTCACTTTATTATATCAGTATAATACACGAGTAGGCAGGCAATCTGCAGTGGCTGCCTGTGGCTCGGACAAAAAAAATATATGAAAAATGATGTGCAAATGAAAAAAGTTGTTTGTCAGCTTAAATGTACGCCATACCTTAAATCCTGACCTGGCACCTTTTGTTAACAAACCTTAACAGCGGTGGCTACTAGTCTCGATTCTCCCTAGCTAGACTACCTATGGAGACTACCACAAAAAAGAAAAGTTTCAGTGGAAAAAATATTTAATATTGGTGGACAGATTTGTTTGCTTTAACCACCAACCTGCTGGCTTGCCAGTGGACAACTTTGCGTTATAAGGCTCAAATATGTTTTGTGGCTCCAGACAGACTGGCTCTTTTAAAAGTAAAGGTTGCTGACCCCTGGAATAATGGGTCCCACAACAGTGGTTCTTCACAGTGAAAACCAAGAAATACTGCACTTCAGACTAAAAAAAGAAAAAAATACATAACAATAATAATGAATTAATTATATGTCTAACAATATGGTATGTATAACAGTCTCTAACTATACTGATGCATCTGTATGACCTATAAACAAACAAGACAATCAGCAAGAAAACTGGCTATTTCTCCATAATTATGATGAATAACCTGCCACCAGGACGGATTTGCTCTTTATTAACTGAATACATTTGCTCTAAATGAAATAAAATCATTTAATATTAGACAGTTCCTTTAAACATGGCAGTTCTATTCTTGCCCTCAGTATTCTCATTTAGGTTCAGTTATGTTTTTATGTAATGATATTATAATAATAATTAATAAGAAAAATATATTAAAACATGTCTCCTATAATGTGAAAAGGATTTTGTAGAAATTAGAAAATTTTGTTATAACGAGAAATGTAGTTGATTTTTGTTGTCAAGAATCTCCTTTATGTCGAATTGGCTCCTTAACAGTGTTTCATAATTTATTAAACTGATTTTATTCATGCATAAGAGACGACAACTGAGATCATAATTCTATTTTCTCTCTCTATGTTTACCTTGTGCTCTCGTCGTTTTCACCTTAATCATCAATTCAAACTTGTGCTGTGTTGAAAGTGCAGCAGAAATGTTGCCAGGTCTGCAGGGGCGTGTCCAGACTTTTTTGACTGGGGTGGCACAACTGGGGAACTGACTTATGCAGGGGTGGCATTAAGTATGTGTCCCAGTTTCAGTCATACCTAATTTATGCAAAATCAATACTGTTTAGGGATGCCAGTGTGCAGAAATATTGAAATATACTAGACAAAAGTAATTTATACTACATGCAAAAAACTTCATAGTTGTGCCCAAAACTGCATGGGATTATCATTTTCATTCAGATATCTTGAAGTCAGAGGTCAAAGGACCGCTTTGAAAATGACCTTGCCAGTTTTTCCAACGCCACAATTTAGCTTAACTTTGGAGTGCTATTTAGCCTCCTTAGCGTAGGGAGGAATAATCTGTTTATGAACCCTGCTGAACGCTGCAAATTCAGCAGAAAGGGTCATGACTCAGGGGTCCTGAGGGTCAATTATGACATAAATCCACTGACAGATCTCAGGCCTGTTTAGGTTCAACTGTCTCGAGGTGTTTTGCTCACAGACTGACACTCAGTC